GATTTAGAAATTCTAATTATATTTAATAACTTAAAGTAGGAGCTTTTATCTTTGAACCAAAATATATTACTCAATATCAATTCAATAATGATTTTAAATTCAATTTATCATTAGAATAAATTAATCTCATAAATAAAATATAAAATAACTATATTTCAAATGACAAGAGACAACCCTAGTTATACATGAAGATAAAAATTAATGAAAAAGATTTAAGAACATTATATAATAATTGATATATATATTTATAAATGGGAAATTATTGTTAACAAGTTGAAATAAATGACAAGGATTTTGCATCTGTTTCAATAGAAAATAGGTAACAACCTTTTCTTGTTAATAAGTTTGATACTAAATCTTTTAATCTTAATATTTCTGATTTAAGGTAGTTGGCATAAATTGAATCTTTAAATACTACTAAATCTTCATCCCCTGATAAAGTTAAGAAAGTACCTTTTAATCTTAAATTACATCGCAAACGAACATTACATTTTGAAACAATTCAAGATTCTAATGTTGAAACACCTACTAGTCAGAATAGAGACTTTTTCGAATTTCCTAATGGAGTCTATAAAGGATAGATGGTTAATGGAAAAAGAGAAGGAGAAGGTTAATTTTTTTATCATGATGGTTCTTGCTTTAAAGGTTTTTGGAAAGATGATATGGCAAATGGTTATGGAAAAATTATTTTTTAAGAAGGGGAAATATATGAAGGATAATTTGAAAATGATTAATAACATGGTTATGGAAAATATACATCAAATTAAATTAAATATGAAGGAGAGTGGAAAGAGAGTTAACCTAGTGGATTTGGAAAAGAAATACTTAAATAACATTATACTTATGAAGGAGAATTCTATAAAGGCTTAAAGCATGGCAAAGGAAAAATAAAATGGTTTACTGATGGAGCTAGTTATGAAGGAGATTTCTTTGAAAATTAAATTAATGGAAAAGGAACTTATTATTTTCCAGATGGTGAAATATATATAGGTGATTTTAAAGATGGATATATGCATGGAATGGGAAAGTTTACTTGGCCTGATGGTAAAGTTTATGAGGGAGGCTATCATAAAGGAAAAAAGTAAGGAATTGGTAAATTAACAACATACAATTTAATATATAATGGTGAATGGTATGAGGGAGTTTATAATGGTTATGGTACTTTGGAAATGTAAGGAAAAATTATTGAAGGATATTGGGATAATGGCATTTATTAAAAATGATTTCTATTATTTATACTGTATTATCACTAATTAAAAAATGATCATTAATCTTTCATTGGGAAAATAGAATTTTATGTAACATTTGAAATAGAAATAATAATTATTGAGAATATTATATTTTATAATCGAATATCAATTTTTAGTTAAATAATCATTTTTATTGATTTCCAAGTTGACTGAAATTTACTATTTTTTTGTAATACTTTAGCTTTGATGGAAATATTTAAACCATTTCTGTATTAATATAGAACTTAATTTATAGATTAATTGACAGTTTATCTTTATTTAATAAATTCTTTATATCATTAAATTCTAGTTGAGTGAATTTTGTATATTAAATTATTTTTGAGATCTTTATAGAATTTCAATTTTCACATACCTTAAATTGTCTAATCTAACATTTAAATATAAGCTAATGAAAAAATGATTATTGATTTATTTAACAATTTTTAATTAGAATTGTTATACGTTTTGAATAATAAATAATTCTTATATTTTATGAGTTATGAGGAAGATCAAGAAAAATTGCTTAACAATGAAGATAAAAACGATAAAATAGGATTTAAGACATACAATCTTGGGAATAGAGATAAGAGAGAAACTTATGATGATTAATCTGGTCCATCAAAATTTGATGCAATTGTCATACTGATTTTAGTAATTATGATTGGATTATCAGGATTTGGATTGCTAAAGCATTATAATGGTAAGGTTGTTTAAATAATAGATTAGTTTTAATTCCATCGAAACTTAATGATAAGGATGTACGTGGTGAATTATAAAATATTAATTAAAAAGACACAACTTTGTAGGATGTATATAATAAATTCAGTGATGGAATCTAGACTATTGGAGATAGTAAAGCACCAAAAGAGGATGAAATAGCAATAGATAGTGTTTTAGATAGTTATATCTCAAAAATTGAATAATACAATGATGTGCGTACTGATTGGGTAGATGATGATGATGAAATCAATAAAAAAATAGAAGAGAAATTAGAAGAATAATAAAATGTTGTTTAGGATTTGGAAGAACTTATAATTTAATAAGAATCTGATATCTAAATTCTAAAGCCTGTGTTTTCTAAAAATATTTATACATATAAAGAATTATAAAATGGAATAAAAATTTTATTAATTTAATCAACAACAGAGGGTATACATATGACAATTACTTTAAATATTGGAAAAAAGAATGATCCAGAAGATAAACCTGGATTGACAGAACTATTATTTAGATGTCTATAAACTAATTTTTTAATAGAAATCTTTAATAATTATACTACTTTAACAGTTTAATTAAGTTTATTTGAAGAATTGAATGCTAAATTTTAAGAATTGTACAACATATTAACAAAACCATAATTTATAGATATTGAAAAGAATGCTAAAGATTTATTTGATGATTTAATGCTTGATTCAAAATCTGGTGATTTAGAATATGTAAGTGATTTTTTGAGTTAATAATCATAATTAAATGAACTCACTATTTTAAATGTAGATTCTGAATAATTATACTAATAATATATATCTCATATTTCAGCTGATACTATAAGTATAGTTTTTAACACTTAAGAAGAATAGGAAAAGATTTTAGATAAATTATTTTAATCAGATCTAACTAAATTAAAAAACTTACATAGATTTTAATAACCAATCTTTTAAAATAAATATCCTTTAGGTAGACATATTCTAAAATTTAAAAGTGATACAGAAGTATTGACATTGTTATCTATGAGTGATCAATTTAGTTGTTAAAGATTCTTAGCATATTTATTACCAAAACCATTTTATGGTGCAATGTGGTAGAATCATCTACTTATAACATTAGATATAGATTTAAGTAATGTTTTAAATTCCATAAATAAATTAATCTAATTTTTAGATTATTTAAAATAAGCAGATGAAACTTAACTTTAATATTTATATTCTTAAATGTTAGCAACAGAAGAATTAATATTTAATACAAAATATGAAGAAAATCTTATATCTACTGGATAGAATCTATTTTCAGATCCTATTTATGCATTAAAAGGATAGGAAAGTTTACCAATATTTGATAAAGATGAATTCGATTAATATGTATCAAATTTAGCTAATAATTTTATTGTTTTGATTGGAAGTGAGAATTTTCAATACAATTCAACTTATGAATCATAAAAAGATGATTCAATATTTATATTGGATGCTATTCTAAATAAAATACATTAAGGATTTACATATGATTTAAAGCCTTTAGTAAAATTATTTGAACTTAATAATTAATATTAATTCTAATTACCTGCTATTAGTCCATTCTTACCTGAAAATCTTGCAATAATATCAGTTTGTTAAGAACCTGTATATAAAATATAAGGATTTGGATTTTAATAAGTTGATGATTTAAGTTTAACAGTAAAAGATGGGAAATTTGATGGATCAAGAGAACCTAAATTCGAAACAGTAGAATATGTTTGTGAATTTCCATTACCAGATTTTTAAGTTGATTGTTTAGAAAAAGAGAAAAATGCTTAATTTTCATTAACACCATTTTAAATTGCTAGTAATGTGTGGTGGAAACCTAGTAGATTGGGTGCAATGGTATTCACTGGATTATTTATTGAAAAGCCTGAATCTACATTAGCTTAAGGTAAAACAATGTTGAAATTATTATAAAAATATTATACAGAATTGTCAAAAAGATTATTTTAATAAGAATTTTTATTTGGATATGAATTATCTTTCAAAGAGACAATAAATGGTTTAAATATTTAGATGCTTAGTTATTCAGAGAAACAATCAGAATTTTAAGATAAAGTATTTGATTTAATGGGTATAGATGATGAATAATTATTTTATTATGTAAAAGATTTACTAAATAAAGATATAAAAAGATTCCATGATTAGAAATTGTCACTTTTGACATAATAATATTATTTACCAAAGATTATGTTAAGACCAATTAATACTCCATAAGAAATAATAAATGTATTAGATGAAGTGGATTATCAAAAATTCTTGGAATTTTAAGGTTCTCTCTTGTCAAGCAAAATAGAAGTGTTAAATATTGGTAATATATTACCAAATGACAGTGCATTTGAAGACTCTTAAGAAACTTATTTGACTAGAACATTAAATTTAAAGGGATAAAATCTAAAATATATAGTATAAAGAGAATCAAATAATGATATGACTTCATCAGTACTCAATTATTATTAAACAGGATTGAAAAATATAGAAACAACTTCTAAATTATATTTCTATGCAGATTTCTTATAATCTTATTCTAACAATTATTTTAAAATGGGTTAATAAGTCTTAATTAAAAGAAAACCATTAGGATGTGCAGATGGATTATAAGTATATATGTAAGGAGTTCTACCATCAGAAGGGAATAAAGAAATTGAAAAGTTTTTAAAATAAGCTAATTTGGATTTGAGTAATTTACAAGATGAAGACATTTTGGAATAGAAGTTATATACAATAAATAAATTATATAATGAGATTAAATTTAAATCTTTATAGGAAGAGGGTTAATTTATATGGGATAAGATTGTTAATAAGAATTATGCATTTAATGAGATTTAAGATGTAATAAAATATTTAGATGATGCATTTCCATAGAAACTTAGAGAATGTGCAAATTTAGTAATGTAAGGTTAAATGAGTGTATAAGTGTATGCAGTAGATTAATCAATTGAAAACACAGAAGGGATTTAGAGTCTAGAATAGTTAATTGATCAAGATGTTTATGAATGTTTTTTTACATTGTGATTTTGTATTCTAATATATATAATTAATGTTAATAAAAACTAAAGGTGATGTTGATGATAATAATTTAGATAGAATGAACGAGTAAATATTCTAGAATTTATGAGAGTGATGAAATTACAAATCTAGTAGTTCCATAATTTCCAGAGTTCAAGCATCCTGGATAAGGAAAACAAGTACTAATGAGACCTGCAAGTAAATAATTCTTGAACTCACCATCAAAATTAGAAGACTCATTATCAGGAAGCACAAAGATAACTTAAGTGAATGTAAGTATTGTTCACTATTAAGAGTGCCGGACATGCTTATGATTACATCGTTAATCGCTTTCTTTAGACCATAAGAAAACATCTTAATTCACCATAAAGGTAAGAATACATATTTATATAAGATCTGAAGTAGAGGGATAAATCATTCGGACCTTGATTTCATAATAAGCCAAATTATAATATATGCTACATATTGATTGGGCTAAATATTATACTAGTTATTTATAGCATATTAATACTAAGGTACCAGGACCTATTAATAACTAACCTTTTTTTGCTGATTAATGTTCTACAGATACTATTTACAAACCAAATCTAAAATAAGATGTGGATTTTGTTTTGTTAAATAGGAATACTTGGATGTTTATTCATAGTTTATATGGTGGAGGACCTGAAGTCTCAATTTAAGATTATAGCAAAGGAGAAGGATTTGAAAATTCAACATAAAAGCCTACTTTATCTAGAGTTAGTTCAATGTAGTCAGGATTAATGGATACTGTTTCTTATATGAGCATTACTCTACCTTTTTAAAAATCTTAATTTGAATTACCACCAATAGGATTTTATAATGAATCCAATTATTGTTTTATGCATGCTGCTTTATAAACTATATTGTCTGTTGAATAAATAAATTGTTGGATGATGAATGAAGGGAAAAAGATAGCTACTTAATAATCGGATAAGTATAGATGGTTGAATGCTTATTTAGAAATAATTACTATTGCTGTTAATAAAAAAGCAGGAGCCTTTATAAAAATTTAGTTATTAAAACAATTAATAAAAAATAAATTTGATCCTCGTTTATAACATGATTCATAAGAATTTTTGAGATATTTTATTGAATAATTGACTATAGAAATATAAGGATAATTAAAATATGATTAACCTATCACAGAGATTGTATTTTAAGGATAGATGATGTCCTTAATTAAATGTGATTAGTGTAATCAATAATCAACAAAATTTGAATCCTTTTTAGATTTATCTTTATCTATGAATAAGTTATAAACTTTAGAAAAATGTTTACGATTATTTTTTGCATAAGAAATATTGAGTGATCATTATTAATGTGAAAATTGTTATAATGAAACAAGAGCAGTTAAAAAATATGTAATTGGTACTCCTCCTTTGTATTTAATGATACATTTAAAAAGATTTTAGGTTTATCCAAATAGAATTAAATTAAATGGACATGTAAGATTTCCAATCAGTCTTGATGTTTAAGAGTATAACTTCAATTCTAAAATATCATAGATTTTGTTCCATAAAAGCAAAATATAAATTAAGATCAATAATTGTTCATTAAGGAACACCTGAAAGAGGCCATTATGTTACATTCTCATCTAGATAAGATTAAGTAATTATATAATAAGTAAATTATAATAGTGGTATTATTTTGATGATCATAAAATATATTTAGTTACAGAATAAGATGTTTTGTAACAATAAGCATATGTATTGGTATATGAAAAAGTTGAAGAATATCTAATTGACATGTAATGACTTTATTATCTATTCATTTATATTAATTTTCCAAATCAAATTTATTAAATAAATCATAGTGAATAAATATAGATTAGAATTTTAATAATAATTAAATTAAACAAAATGTTTTAAGGAATCAATAATTTTGTGAATTCTTTTGCTACTCCAAAACCATAGGATTTCTATTCTAAAGGTTGGCTAACACCAGAATAATTTGTTGAAGCTGGAGATCAATTAACTATGACTGGATGGCAATGGAAAAAAGCTCAAGTAAAAAAAGGTGTAGATCCTCCTCATCCAGAAAAGATGTATCTCATAGCCAATGCAACATCTTAAACTCGTATAAAAGAGTTTTTATCCTTTGATTTCTAAAACAATCAAGGATAAGATGGATTTTTATGTGTGGATATGAGTAAAAAACAATAATAAGCTTTGAATGACCAAGAAACTAGAGTTTATACAATTACAATAACATATGATCGTAAATATCATTGTCCAAGATTATGGCTATAAGGAGTTGCATTAAATTCTGGTTTACCATTAAAAAATTAAGAGATTTATGAAGACATTATGAGTGTCTATTAAAATGAAACAGTAACAGTAGAAGAACATCCATATCTTCATTATTAATAAGTTACAATTCATCCATGCAATCATTCTACTACAATGAAGGCATTCCTTGATAAAGCCAAATAAAATGGAGCAGATATTAAACCAATGTAGGCATTGTTTATCTTCTTAAAATTTATGCAATCAGTAATGCCAACAGTAGTATATGATACAACAATTGATATATGTTTGGGTGTTGATTGATAATATATATATATATATATTAATTTCACATCAAACAACCTCCATCTTAACTTTAAGAAACTCTGCAATTTTGAAGACATACAACATTCCTTAAATATAATTCATTGTCTACTATTACCCATGGCCCTAAAAATTAAACATCTCCTTCAATTCTACACCAATAACCTACAATTGAATTATAGCAGATTATTGAATTTTAAATAAATGAGAAATTCTATAATTTAGAATAATAATTACTTTGACTTCAACACCATCTAATAGAATAGAATTCTTTATACGAACTCCCTCTCCAATTTCACATCCAGCTCCTATAACTACATTACTACCTATCCTTGCAGATGGATGAATTTTAGCACTCTTATGAATCAATACTCCATCACATTTTATTTCAAAATCAGAACTATTAAATTAAAAAGGATTTTATCCATAATATTAGAGTAGAAGTCTATTTGCATTTAGTATATCACTTGTTGATTTTATTGATTACCAGAATCCTTTATGTTCATATACAAAGATTTTATCTCTCTCTGCTTATTTTAATACATCATTCTCTAATGATAAATAAGACTTATCCAAATCTGTACTTCTTTTTATATACTTAACATATGGTTGATGTTAAAGTTCTTCACTTAAATTAGCTTCTTTTTTTGCTTTTACATTCAAGATTGTTGTTTTGAATGATTAATTAAAAAAGTATACTCCACAATTAACTAAATTCGAAATATATTATTCTGGTTTCTCAGCATGATGAATTAATTAATCTGTATTACAATCCTTAATTAAACACCCATAACGAGTTGATTCATCTTTTGATACTCGAACTGTCATTATACTACAAATACCAGATTTACTATTAATGCTATTTAATATAATTTACTTCTTATGGTACTCATAAAATTTCTAGGCTTACAAATCACAACAAATATCTGAATGTACAACCAAAAGATCTTAGTATTATTTTATATACAATACCTTCAACTTCTTCATATAATTCTTCTAAATTTTATGCTAATCCACCTGCTGTTCCCATTTCACTCTATTCTTATATATAACGTATATTTTTGCCATGTATTTTTTAGTACTTTTCTTAAAAGTATTAGAAACACTTCTTATCATAATAACCCATAAGAACAAAATCTTTCAAATTGGGTAATTTCTGGATTGCATTTATGAGATGACCAATTATTTCAACTCCACTAACTGGAAATAAAGGAGAAGCTTATTCATATGTTCCATAACTTGCTTTTCTACTAGGACCACCTAACAAAATTACCGCTCGAATCATTGATTTTATTAAGAAAAAATAGTCTATATTTGTAATTTATTTTCCAAAGAATCTATATTGATGTGTCATATTATTAATGAAATATTAAAAATTTAGAAATCAATAATTTATACCATTCAACACAATTTCAGGTTTAAGAACTTATAATCTTTAGAACAAGGTATCTATCAATTATCATAATTTAATTAGAAGTATTTAAATAACGTATGAAGTAAATTTATAAATAATCAAAAAAAATAAACAAATTTCATTTTTTTTGAGTTTGCAATCATCTCAAAATTATGATAATCAATTGATCATAGTTAAAACATATGAATAAAGTGAGTTTAAAGAATTTGTGAATTTTGATTTTATTTATTACTTGAAAACAAATTTATTATAAGATCAATTATATAAAAAAGATTAGAATTCTATTCCTAAAAAATTGATGATGATAATAAATAATTAAAGCTATATTAATTGGTTTATTAGATAGAAAGAAACTCTATTTTTTTATCAGATACAAGTCTTTTAGATTAAAATTTATATCAATTTAATCCTTTATTTTAAATTATATTATCAGATATCTTTAGAAAATTAAAAACATTTTTATGATTATAATAAGTGAATCATTTTTATTTTTTATCCCAACATCTTAAGGCTGTTAAAATATTCTAAAAAAAACTAGAGTCTTTTTTATCTGTTTATGCTTTTAAAACTTTCGGTGACTAAATGAAATAATATTTTTACATCTGATACTTGTAAATTTACTTATTATTGTTAAGTTTATTACAATTAAATGATCAATTTTGATTTTTCCTCTTCATCTTATACAAGATGTATTATTTCATCAACCATTTTTGGATTCTTTTTCAGTTACTATCCAGCCATTGTTGTTAAAAATTAATGAATTAATGGGATTCCAGATTCTAATTTCTATGTATTAAAGTTTAATAATATTACAATATCCCTTTAAGCACCACTATTGAATTGCCACAGCTCCTAATTGAATATCTTTAGTAACAATAAATAATAATAATCTTTGATGAAGCCATTCATACAATTCATCTTCATCCATAAATTCTAAATCAGGTTTCGGAGGTTTACTTAGATCAGGAAAATAACTAAAATATAATCACACTCTCTAACTTTTACAAAAATTGCTATATTTCCTTATTCATATTAAATAAATAAAAATTTTATATCTAAAATGATAAACTCAAATAGCAAAACTTATTTATAAATGAAAATCAATCTTAAAATCTTATTAATCATTCTTAATTATATGAATCTTGATTTTTATTTTAAAATTCTAATTTAACATTTAGTTTTCGATTACTAAACTAATTACTTTTTAGTATTGGAGATTCTTAGATATTAGCCAATTCTTCTAAATCTCTATCATTTTCATCAAATCCTTTATCATATTAATTAAAGTATTTATCCTCATGATACTATACTACATTCTCATTATTAGGCAATAAGGTTATGCATTCATTTCTTAAATCCTAAGAGCTTTCAAAATCTGAAGAAGTATTAATTGATTAGACATTAATTGATGTTTCCTCAAACATTGGTTCAAATTAATGATACTACATTTTTACCTTTTTTCTTATTTCATCTTCTTCTAAAAAATCATATTTTTAACTCTTTTATCCTTTTTCTTGTAATTCTCTTATAAATGAATCCTTCTCTTTTAATTTTTTTGGTCTTTCACTTGGTTTTAAATAAACTTGTTTTAAATCTTATGTTGAAGGTAATGATTTGGATGATAATTTTAGTTTAGAATATGAGCCATTTCCTTAATTATTTTCATTCTTTGGTAACATTAAAAATGATGCCACAAAAAATCCAACTCCTATACCCAGCAAAAATTTGGCATCAATGATTATTTACAAAAAATTCATTAGCAATTTTATTAATTAAATATGTGATTTTTTATAATTTATTTTAACAGATTTTTTTTTAATGAATGAGGATAAATAATCATAAGATCTTCTTTAAACCTATTAAGATTAATATAGAATTTCAATCAATTGAATTAATTTTGATTTAAGGACATTTTTATGTTAAATTATAGATTAAGGTTTAAATTTCAAAGCCCTTTTTACAGAAATTCTCTTATTAATATAATTCTTAATCCCTTTCTATATAAAATAAATAATTAATAATATAATTGATAACTTCAAATATTTCATGATTATATTTTTTTTTAATTATTTTCTATCATTTATTGGCTTTCTTTTTCAAATATAATAGCTAAAATAATAATATTTTAAGAAAATAATGATCAATTAAAACCTTTTAGTAAAATTTAAAACTAAAATATTTTTCAGATAATCCATAGAAAATGTATTTTTTTTCAATACACTCTTACAATTTTCAATTCTCTTCTTTTTATCATTAACAATCAATATATAAAACAAATATAGAATTATTAATAATTATATAGCAATGTATAAAACATATACATAGAATCTTCATGATGCATACTTTCTTGTCCATTCCCTTGCTGTTGCTTCATAACGTTATTTATCAGTTTTATAAATATTTGCGATTTCTGGCACTAAGGGATCGTCTGGATTTGGATCAGTTAACAAAGAGGAAATACTTAACAAAACTAATTATATAATTATTAGATTACCTTTGCTGATTGTTAAGGCTGGGGACCATTAATCTTTCAATATATCTAAACATATTGCTCCATTTTGATTGATATTTGGATGGTAGATACGAGTAACAAAGTTAATTTTAGGTGGTTTAAATGGATAATCTGTTGGAAAGTGAATATTGAGTGAAAATAATCCACCTTAATATGGAGAGCCTTCAGGTCCCATTATAGTTGCCTACCAATGGAATTAATCTTTGTCATCTATAGGACCAGCTGAACAATTAGAAGGGGGATCCTTAGAAAGATCAGCCAATTCTTTTTGAATTCTTTTAAGTGCCATTTTTAATTTTTTTTTTTTATAAATTAAATCAATTAATGTGTTTTCATTTATATATTTTATTAATACATATTAACTTTTCCTTTCTAGCTTACCGATAAAAACTGATTCTATATTTTATGGGGTATATCCAATATTTATTAGATTACAAATCATCAAAATTTCTTAATTCTTTTTGACTTGATAGAATATTGTAAATACATAAATATTGGATTATTAATATTTATATCTGTAAAATAGTAGAAAGATAGATTATGGTTATCATAATTCTATGTAAAAATTCTGGTCTAATTGAAGTATTACACTTAATGATGATTTTTATGTTTTCATCATAAAATAACATTAATCTTCATTATATTTTAACAAAATATCAGAAACAATAAAATTTATTGTATTAATTGATGTTCATTTTTATTTAACTCAAAATAATGTTATTAGATGTTTCATTTATTTAATAGTCACTAAAATATATAAAAGTGAAACTCTTAATATTTTGCATGCTAAAATATCTATGAATGTATTTTGTATAGTTAATAATTTTATTTAAACAACATTTATGTTGATATCAGACCTTATTATTAAAAAAAATAAGTTAAAGATAAGAATTAAAAAAAAAATATAGAATAATAATTATATTTCTTACTCTATTCATCAATAAATTAATAGTAATTTATTATTCATGATCAAAATATAGACATAAATAAATTTAATGTTCTATTAATGATTAACCCAAGATTATAAACCAAATAAATTAGATTGATATAATAAATATTACGGTTTATGTAATACTGAAATAATCTATAGATATTATAGAATTAGATAATTTATTTAGAAACAAGATTAAATGCATAAATAAGAAAGATATTTTATAGAATTAATAGCTATAATATTCAATGATTTCAATCTTATAATCGCTTGATGAAAATACAGTACTAATATTTCGAAATATTTGATCCAAAAACCTTACACAATGGTTAAGACAATTAAACTTATAGTAATTAGTTTTATCTAAACCTCTTTTATTTATCAATTTTTATATTTATATTTACAAGATATAACATACATGAATCTATCTTAGATTTATTTAAATAATTTAGCTTATGAATTTAAGAATGTTTAAAGGCCTAATTTATTTATCACACAATAATATTATATATATCTATAAGAGGATTCTTATTTATATTTTATTTTTAATAAATTCTCATAGAATTATTAAGAAGAATCATGTTGAGGTAGGCATTATTTAGAATTTGTAATATAGATTAATAAAAAAATATTTACACAATTAAATTTTTGTTAAATTAGAATTGAAATAAATATAGAATAGATTTACACATTGTAAATTAAGAAATGAAGAAATCGAATATACAATTTACTAAAAATAATCTTCAACAACAGCCCTCATTCTTTTATTATTACTAGGTCTAATTTGTTGTTACTAGCTAAGCTTTTGGTTATTCTCTAGGCTAAACTACATCATTCTTCTTTTTGATACCAATAGATCCAATCTTGATTCCATAAACCTAAAAATAATTTTTTTTTAATTACTTCTTAAGTAGGATCTATTTCTCCACTATCAATTTTCTTTAATACTTAATTAGCCATAGTTTCAAACACATTATCAACATTTTCACCTGTCTTAGCTGATGTTTCAAAGTAAGCAAATCCTTATTTTTATGCATATTTTCTAGCCTCCTCTGTTTAAACTTCTCTTCTAAAGCATACTTTATTTAAATATTACCTCTCTTCTAAGTCAATCTTATTTCCTACTATAACCATCTCTATTTTATCACATGCATATCCTTAAATTTCTTGATACCATTTTTATAAATCCTCAAAAGACTGTCTACTTGTCACATCAAATACAAGTATTCCACCGATTGATCTATATTAGTTATTCATTCTATACCCTCTATAATAAGATCGCGTTATTGATTTAAAGGATTCTTGGCCTGCCTAAATATTTAAAAAATATTCATACAGTGTCCCAAATTTGTAATTTGATTTATTTATCATTAATTTTTAGATTTCTTGATCCAAATTCTACTCCAATTGTGGCATCATGTTCATTTCTGAATCTAGAATCTGTAAATTACAAAAGTAAACAACTTTTACCAACATCTAAACTTACTTATTTTTATCTTACTTGTATCTCCAACTATGATGAACTTAAAGAGATAATTGTAAATATTCATAAATAATTTATTTAATTAATTTTATTCAAAATAAACTTACCTATATAATTCAAAATAAAACCTTTTTCATATCACTAAATACTATAGCTAAAAAATTGAAGCTTAATCAAAAATAGTATTATCATTTGAAAATTTAGAAAATGCTAGATTTATTTAATAATGTTAAAATACATTATGAGAAACTTTCAATTTTATTCCAGTTGAAAACTGATTTATAAAGAAGGGAAATCAAATCATTTAGAAAGAAGTGTTCTTTGAAATTAATAAGAATATTCAAACATATTTGAGAATTAGAAAAATATAATAAAAATATATTCCTATTTTCAATTGAAATCATATATGTTAAAATGTTATTATTTATTTTGCTTTAAGCTAGAAGTAACTTAGATATTGAATATTTTATGTTAATAAATTTAGATTTAGTAACAAAAAAATGAATGTTTAGTAAAAATTTAAAGGCTTTTTCATATGATAACTTTAAACAAAATTGTAATTGATCAATCAAAGTTTTTCTTATTTGTTAAAGTCATTAGAACATACATATTTTAACTCAAAAATAAAATATATTACTATTACTAGTTATGACGTAATTTATGAAATATAATATGGTAATAGGTGAATAAAGAAATTTATTTATTTTGGATGGATGGATAGCTATTATTTTTTTTAATATCATTGTTCAAGCCCTAAAACTTTTATGATTTCTAAAATAAAGCAATTTATTTCAGCGTTACTAAAAGTATGCTATTTAGTATGAATTTGTTCTTTTTGCTTCTCCAAAAATATTAATCGAAGAATATAGTAGATAGTTATTTGTAGTTTTATTTCTCAAAAATCTTAATAGAAATTTTTCAATCCCTATTCTATTAATAAGTTTGATTTCAAATATTTTGATTTAAATCATTTTTTTAATTTATTTATGAGAGCAACTTAAGCTAAATTCGAACACGTCAGAAGTGAATAAGCACAAACTCCAATCAATGAAATTAGAGTCTCAGCTAAACGTCTTGATGGATCTTATATCAAAAGAGCTATTGAATTATTGCTTGGCACAGAAGAAATCCCAAAATAAGACACTGTTTTTATTAAAGGAATTGATAATGCCATTCCTAAAGTATTGGTGATTAGTGAAATTGTAAGAAGAAGAGTTGTTGGATTATCTCAAGTATATAATACAATTAATTACAAAGATTAATTAAATTGGTAATACTTAAATTGTGGACAAATATGTCCCAACAGAAGAAGGATTAATTGAAGTCAATATCACTAAATAGTTGTCTATTTTAACAGTGAAATTGACAACTAAACCTACAGAGGAAGATAAAAAGTCTATTGGATACTAAGAACCTCTTCCTGAATCTGAAGTTGTTCCTTAAAGATAAAGACAATGTATATTCATAAATTGAATAATTAGAAGGAGAAAAAAGAGAAAGAAATACAAGACAAAACAGAGGTGCTCCAAGAGGTGAAAATAATAGGGGTTAAGATAGAAGAGATAACAGAGATAATAGAGATAATAGAGATAATAGAGATGACAGAGATAATAGAGATAGAAGAGATAGAAGAGACAATAGAGACAATAGAGACAATAGAGACAATAGAGATAGAAGAGATAATAGAGACAATAGAGACAATAGAGACAATAGAGATAGAAGAGATAATAGAGATAATAGAGATAATAGAGATAATAGAGATAATAGAGATAACAGAGATAACAGAGATAACAGAGATAACAGAGATAGCAGAGATAACAGAGATAACAGAGATAACAGAGATAGAAGAGATAATAGATAAAATAATACCAGAAATACAAATACGAAAGTATAAGACAAGTAATAATGAGATTTATATTTACGAAACATAATAATATTTTAAAATATTCTAAATATTTAATTTTTATATAATTTTAATAATATTCTATGCAGAATGATATAAATTTATCATTGAATGAAGCTCCAAATAAATAGACAATAATGGTCATTGGATTACAATAAGCTGGAAAGACAACATTTGCTTAGAAATTTTCAGCTATAAATTAAAAACTTTTCTAAGAATCCAAAATTCCAGATTATGATATAGAATTAATTGATACTCCATCCTATGATTCATTTTTCACATTATTACCTTTTAGAGATCCTAAAGTTACTGGATATATCATTATATTTTGCTAGCTAAATTCTGAAATTATGAAATCCACAAAGTAAATTAGAAAAAAATTATTTTCAATAAATGGTTAACATAAAAGGACAGTAATACTTTTTAATGAATTTACATATTTTGATTATAGATCTTCTGAAATTCAAGAAGAAATAATGAATATCAAATATTGGTGTAAACAATAGGATATTCTATTTTCCTAGCTGGATATAAAAAGAGCATCTTGCAAATAAATAAGTAAAATAGATCTTTAAATAGTTAATCTTTTTGAAAAGATGTTTATGAAAAAAATAAGAACAACTCTGGCTCAGAAAATATTTATAATAATTTAGTTTGGAATGGGAATCTACATTTTTCTATTTGCTATTTGGTTATCTATTAATGATCCATCTTTAATTGTAAAATAAATTAATTTTTTTAGATAAGTAATATTTCTTATGAGATTTACTGCCTAGCTTTGTTATGTTTAGGGATTGCAAATATATTCATACCATATTTTTGTATTAATTTGATAGTATTTTTAGTTAGAACAGGAATAAAGGATTCAAACACATAATGCATTAATAGAGTAAACAACATTTAGTTACTAAGTCCAAAATTTTCAGTTGTTTAGTAACTGTTATTTCAGTCATTACCCTGATAATTGCCTCCATGTTCATCTAGTTGCTATCCTGTCTAATTATGTCTATACTTTTCACGTTTAATTCAGTACTTTGCTTATTTTTTACATTTTATTTATGAAAAGTTATATTTAATAAGATTAGATTATGATTATTTATACAATGATTTTACACTAGAATTTATATGAATAATAGATGTATTCCTAAGATTTATAAATTATTTATTTTCTTTTTAGTTATTTTTTGAACATTATAAATATTTAAATTCATCTGCCATTTTAATCTCATAATGATTTATTCAAATAAATATTTATGATTCACTCTCTCTCTATATTAATTTGAAATGAATTAATAACTCATATTATTTATCATAAATATAAAAGAAGATTATTATAGCATTTTATGTCCTGTGTAATAACAATTTATTAAGTTTGATTAAAATTAGTCACAATATGAATACACTTGAGATCTCATTGCCTTTTAAATAATTCCTACTTTACAATTTTGTTTCATCTAATGATAAGAACATGTAATGATAAAAAAAATGGAAACCTAAAACTTTAACATAAATACATTTTGTTAGATATCTAGATTGAAGAATTAAGGAAATATGATTTAAATAATAAATTATAGCTTCATAACTAATTTTAATGCTTTTTTAAAGTCATATACTAATATATATCAATATATTTATTAGATAAAAACTTAGAATTCTTATTCTCTTGATGAATCAAAAAATATTTAAAAATCAAATTAAATATAAATGATACACTTATTGTGTTTTATTTATATATCATACAATAATTTATAAAAATACTTTTATTTAATTAAGAACATTTTGATTCTGAGTTTATGTTTAAGAACGAGTTGCTTTAGAATAAAAAATTAGATTATATTTTTAAATTAGATAATATTTCTTATAAATGTCATAATAAGAAAATTGTAGCATTTGCTTCGAGGATTATGTAGATCCTATTAAATTACCTTGTAATCATATTTTTTGTAGAGAATGTATAGTAGTTGCACTAGAAGTATATTTATTTTATAAAAATTTAAGCAAAGGCAAAGTTGTCCAATTTGCAGACGTTTATGCTGTAACTACATAAACTCAAGATTTCTTTCCATTACTGAACCTGAAGAAATAATGCATGAACACTAAGGTGAACCTTGCTTCGTTTACAGAATTACTATACATCAAAATACTTAAACTTAATTTAATTTCTTTGAAAAAAGGTATGAAGTAATATAAATTTGTAGATATGTGGAAATGATTACAGAAGTTTTAAAAAAAAACTTGACTTTTATAATTGATCCTCAATACAATGATAATTGCATAAGAGTAAAACTAATTGAATGTGTACCAGTTCATGAACATTCAGTATACACTTGCACAGTTTAGAATATTCAACGTCTTAAAATAATTGGTTTTTCTGAAAGAAAAATATAGGATTCTAATTCTGTATATATTATAAATAATATTTAGAAACTAAAATATGCAACTACACAATCAATAATTGACAATTTCGATTAAGAAACATTAATACTCTACTAGAAATTACATGCTTGTATAGAAAAAATAATAGAAATATTATCTTTGAATGAAAATGCTAAAAACCAAATATTGGCTTTGGCTGGTAAAAAGGATGAAGTCCAACCAGAACAAATATCTAAACATTCATTAGAATTATTACAAACCATATAGATGTGTGAAAATGGACTTTTAAAATGGTATTATAGTACAGATATAAATGGAAGACTAGGAGTTATTCTTAAACATTATGAATCCTATCTGAATTATTGCTAGAATTAATGATTACCATATTTTATATATTTTTTATTTTCAAACGTTCATTTTATTTTAATTTATATGTAGGCTCGTATTCAACAGCTATCTAAACATATTCCAGATAAGCGTATTCACAACTATGCTTTTTCTACACAAGCCATCATTGGAAGAGGATCGTATGGAGTAGTCTATATTGGAAGAAATATAGATTCAGGGTATTCGATATTGTAATTTCTATTTTAGATAAACTGTTGCCATTAAAGCAATTGCCTTCTAACAATATTCTTCTGACAATCAAGCCTTATTACAAAAAGAAATAGATATAATGAAAGACTTAGACTGCCCCAATATAGTTAGACTAATAGATGTAATTACAACGGCTAATAATTGTTATATAATTTCGGAACTATGTACTGGAGGAGACTTAAAAGAATATATGAAAAAATCAGTAATAGTTTTATCTAATATTACAGGGACCAATAGAGGAATCTGCTGCTGCTAAAATATTGATATAAATATTGCGGGGGATTCTTTAATCATTTAAAAGAGGAATTATTCATAGAGATCTCAAACCAGCCAATATTTTAGTTGCCAATAATAACATATTCAAGATTGCAGATTTTGGATTTGCCAAACGATTTGATAAATTAGATGAAGATTTGATGACATCTCTAGTTGGAACTCCACTCTACATGTCTCCATAAGTATTACTTAGAAAATAATATACTTCCAAATGTGATGTATGGTCAATAGGATTAATCTTTTATGAAATGATAGAAGGTAAAACCCCTTGGAATGTAAGAGATATATTAGATCTAGTTAATAAATAAAGAAATTAAAAAATAGCTTTTTGTAATTTAATTTTATTATATTTAGCCAAAAAAATTTCAAAACTAGCTTAATAATTCATTACCGGATGTTTGGCATATGAAGAAAGTAGTAGATTTGGTTGGGAATAAGTTTTTACTCATCCATTATTTGAAAATGCATTTGAGAGACAACCAAAAAAGGAAACTCAACAATAGGCTTAACCTTAAAATCCATTAACATAGCCTTAAACTTAAATATAACCTCATTAATTATATCAATAAACATAATAACCTGTATAAAATCATTCATAAAATTAACCATAATAAACATCTTAGAACAAAAATTGCTCAAAATAGTAATAAGCTTCTATGCATTAATAATAAATTTAATAAGTTTTTTCTTAAACTTAACCATCATAATAGTTATAACAGATGATACCAACTTAATAATAAAAAACTACAATTTAACCTATAAAACCATAAGTACACTAATTTTCAAATACTTAAAATTTAACTCCATAAGAAGCTAAATAAAATAAATCTATGTAAATAATACCTAATGTCAGTCCATCTGATGATAAAATTAAAAGAAATACAATATCTCCTCTTTAAATACATATTGATAATAGATAAGTTTAATTAATTAAAGGGAAGCATTATGTAAAAACTCATGCTTCACCTTTAAATGATGAGGAAAATAAAAACAACATATCAATCTAAAAAATCACTAATTGTTAAACTTAACCTAATACTTAGAAAAAGGATAGAACTGTAAGTGTTGTCCATCATAAAGTTGAATCATAATAAACTACAAGTAGGTATAGTGACAATAAGTAATGTAGAGAGGATCATTATAAATCAGAAAGAAATTATTGTCCTCCAAAACATCTTTATCAAAATTCTGAGCCAAAATTTTTATTTCATAGACAATCTTCTGAAAACGATGAATTTACTATTAATAGGATGTTAATCTAAAATTAGATTGAATTTTTGTTATTTTTAAAAAAACTTAGAGAACAACTTTTAGAATATTATGGTAATAACTAAACTTAGGTATCAACTGTTGAAAAATTGTCATTTATACTACTAAAAAATGTTATGATTAAAACAACAGATATAAAATCAAATCTTATTGACAAATAAATTAATATCTTAGATTTGAGAGATTTTGAACATTTTAGAATGACAGAATCATTTAGAAATTTAGAAAAATCCATTTTAGAAATTCATTTTGAAACATTCAATCAATTCTAAGAGACATTCTTACATTTAAATGAAAATTTAAATTTAGTTATGTAGGATACAGATTTTTTAGAAATATTTAATAACAATTTTGAATATTCCATTCATTTTGTTAAATTTGCTTATAATTTAACTGCCTAATTTATTAAATGTAAATTTTTAATATTAATTTAAGCATTTTTATATGATTAAGTTCTTGAATGCTCTAATGTTAAGATTGTAAACTTTACATTTCTTCTTGGACAATTAGCTTAATACTTAAAGTAAATGTCATTCTCTCCAAATGATGTTAATAAACTATTAAGTAATTGTCGTAGTTTCAAAGAGGATTTTAGATTAAAAAGAGTTGAATGTCTTAGTCTAATGGAGAAACTTATAGTTAAATACAATTGATTTAATAAATAGATTACTATTATTTATGTTAAATGTTTATATATTAATTTATTATTATAAGTTAAAGGAAAATCAAACTTAAACTATCTACAAATAATTATTAATTCAATTATTTCAAAACATATATAAATATAAAATTATATTCATCTTTAATATTTCTTAATAATTAAACATAAAAACAAACTGACAAATAAATTATTATTCAATTACATATTTACTGATAATTCAAAAGATTTGGCATGCTTATGATCCTCCTGGATTTTATTGATATGATTGCGGTGTGCTATTTAAAATTATAATACTCTTACCTATTAGATTTTGTTGTGTTTTCAATTCTAGGCTAATATTATTAATCACTATATTTGAAATCATATGGTGTAAAATTATATATGGATGATTTAAACTCTCCTGGTTTATAATCCTCTGTGTTATCATACAACTTGTTATAAGCTTCTGCCCCAATTACATTATCTTTGATAGGAATTGTTGATATATAAGGATTCATTTAGTTATTAGAGGGAGAGGTGTATGATTAAATTGGATATGGATCTTGTATATCATTATATTTATCCCATTAACTAAAATCATATTTCTTTTTTGGATCACTTGAAATCTGAGGAGTATAATATGATTAAGTTTTATTTAAGTAGTTATTTTAATCCAATCCATTTACAGATTATTATATAACCCCATCATTTATAATTGGATCTGCAATTTGCTATTAACTTTATGGTTATTATGAAATTATTGGTATATTTTATTAAGATAGCTATTACTGTGTATTAGGTACTTGAGACTACAAAGATTGATTTAAAGGATTATAACTGGGCTAATTTATCAAATTATTGAAATTTGGATTATTATTGTTAATTCTATTTGATTGAGAAATTTAATTTGGTCTACTATGTTTACTCACATACTTAGGTTAATAATCTGGTTTATCATCTATTAATGTATCATCCATATTAGCTTATATCTCTTTATTTACATAATTAGAATTTTCTGGCTATTATTTTGATGATTATTATTAAGATCCATTCTAAGATTAAGAAACAATAACAGAATTATTTAATGATGATGGTTTATTTTATTTTTGATTTGATTTTGTTTATTATTAATTTGATTATTTTTATTATTAAATTTCATTTCCACTAATCTATGGCTGATTATTTTGATTATTATTCTCTTATAGAGATTCATTAACATTTTAAGGATTTATCTAATATGAATCATTAAGAACACTATCATATTATCTCTCATAAGGTACATAAGTATCATCCAATACCTTTGGTTCGCTTATTTGTTGAATTTATTCTGATTATTATTATTAGGGGATTTTAGGTGTTTCTATAAGTTAGGAATCTAATTATTTGGGTTGATTAGATGTTTCTATAAGTTAAGATTCTAATTATTTGGGTTGACGAGGTTAAGATGCAACTTCATTAAGATCTCGAGAACACTTAACACAAATACACTTTTTTTTCTTCTCTGTTGATGTTAAAGGTAACTATTAAGATTATTATTCAAAATTAAGTGGTTAAACTTGATTATTTTAAAGGAGAGAAGATTCAATTTCCTTTTCTAGTGGTGGAGCTTGATTTAGATACTATAAATTATTGGAGGGTTAAATGTAAAATACTTAAGGTTCCTCTTCATATATTGGTTATTGTTAAGTCAAATCATAGAGATAATCATTTGGATCAGGTGGCCAATATGATTTTATTATTTTCTAACCACCAAAAGATTATTCTAAATGCATGGGATCAAATTGATTATTAAGAATGGTTAATTATTTGTCTTTCAAAAATTTAATCTTATTTAATGTAACTGGATCAATACATTCTAATTTATGATAATTTTATTACATTCTATTTAAGACCATAATAAATTAATAGATAGAGTTGTATTTAATATATAAATTGATTCACAAGTATTTGGGAAACATATTTACAATATTTGAATAATCTAAAATATCCTATCTAATGGCATTTTAAAAGCACTTTAATCTTTAGTCTAAATTATAGCAATCCAAGATTCCACCTTACCTTAATAAAACATATAATCTTCAACTAATGCACATAATAATACAGCTGCCCTTTCAAATAAAACCAAATCATCTATCCATTTTGTTGATACTACAATACAAGGAATATGATTCCTAGTTCTTCCTTCTATATATAAGGCTCCATTAGACTATAAGATTATTTTTATAATATTACATATAAGGCTTCAATTTCATTAGTTAAATCAAGATAACCAGGTTAAAATAATATGTTATTTGTTTAAGTCAATTACTAGCTTAATATTACTTGATACATTAAAAGTAGATTGGATATCAAATTTATTAGCATAAAGATATCTTAACAATAAACTATCAGGATAATTCTTTTAATCATATTTTTCATTCCTTTAAAGAGCTGATATCAATTAATTAATTTGCATCCTTTCAAATTAATCATAATCCTAAATTTTAAAGATCTTTCTAACAGCATTTTAACCAGTTCCAATCTTGATACTACTAGCTATAGAGAATAGAATATTATCTTACGATTTAATATAATATTATCGGCAACTTGCTAAGGCAATCTGAGATAATCAAATCGTTATTGAAACATTAGAATAAATAAATTAATCAAAAATTCCTAAGCCTCTTATAGAATCTGACTAGTTAGGACACTAAAAAATAGATAATCATTATGCATTCGTACAAAACTACAAAAGGGTATAGAACTATTCCTCCAATCAAATAAACAAAAAAAAATACCATCAACAATTGGACTTTTCTCAACCTAAGGTTTATACATTAGTATACCTACCAACTGCTTCATTGTCCCATCGAGTAAATATATAATAGGATCCATAGAGAGGATGTGCTATAAGTGCGATAACTCCTAAAACTATCCAAATGGGTGATAATAAGAAGACCAATAAAAAAGGCATTATTTTATTTAATGTTGGATACTTCCATGGCATACTATTAGAGTATTACTTATTTGGACACCCAAAAAAATAATTGTAATTATCATAATGTTATGCTATAATATTATTATGAAAAATATACATGTATATTATCTTCTGCATATCCAACAAAATTAATATTAACATCTCTTACATGTCATGTGATTACATCCACCTTCTTTTTGTACAACAATTTTGCATTTTGGACATCTTTAAATTTTTTCTTGTCTACTATCTAATACAAATATTTAGTCCATCAATTCATCACAACTACTGAGACCATGATATTTATTCCCACAATCTACACAAATATCCTATCCACATAAACATCTTTTGGAATCCAAATGAACATATAATTCACATAATTTATTTGGACAATGTCTTAAAGTGGGATCATTCTCACCAAATTATAATGTTCTAAATTTTGCATATTTATCAAATTCATTTTATTAAATATTTTTAACAACTTCTTCATATTAGAGTTAATAATGACAGGTAGGACATTTAATTTACATTACTATTCCTTCATCTATCTTTGCATTTAAATACTATTCTAAACATTTTCTAATATTATTAATAAATAAACCTGCAAAATTTATGTTTACACCCTAATTAAAAATTATCTTCTTTTTGTTCTTAACAAATAGGACATTAATTAAAGTTTTAAGATTGGCCATCGTAATCAATCACTTCTTGCATAATTTATAATTAAAATTTATATTTAATATATATATTTTAAAAAAAAGAAAAAGAAATCTATCTAAAATATTATTACTCAAACAATATATACAACAATTTTTAGATATTATGAGTTAAATTTCATTAAAATTTTCATATTAACTCTAACAAATTACAATAATTCTTAATAAAAAATAGTATTAATAATTCCTGGAACAAGAATAAAATATTGTTGATGATATGATATTTAATTTTATTATTTTTGAAAAATTACATTGTTTTTATTATATAAATTATTGGTACTATAAAAATTTATAAGAGCTATGAAAATTCAGATCAACGTTAAATTTAAAATATAGAGATCATTAAAAGACATAGTGTGTCTATCACCTCCAAATAAAACCATTTAATTTTCAAATACTGTAACTGCATGTCCATCACGAGCACATGGTTTTTTTCCATTAATTACATTTCTTCCATCAAAAAATGGTTGTATAAATCTAAAATAAAAAATAAATAATACTTTGAAATTATTTATTATCCAAACTCAGTCAATGTTCCTTTAGTTAATTTTAAATCTTGTTTTGGATTTCCTATTAAAATTAATGAAGTTCTTAATTTTTCTGTAACATTGCAATCATCTTAAAACGAAGTCCTTTTATTAGATTCAACATCAAAAAGTTTTAACATAGCAGCTTTTTACTTAAGATTTTCTAGTTTCTTTCTTTCTTAAACATGATTTATTGAAGTATTAACAATAGAATTATTTTTTTGATCCTAGGTCAATACAACATTTTAATAATTAGAAAAATAAGATTATTTAGATTAAGTAAATGATCTAACCTTATTTAGTTATTAACATACAGATTTTCTTAAACTAAATGGTCTAATCATTGATGTAAACTTAACGGACCTTTTTTTATTCTAGGGACTTTTATTAGATTTACAAAGAGATGGAAGTTCAAATTCTTTTCTTCTAGAAGTATCTTAATTAATAGTTTTCCATTCTTTATTATTTATTTAATAAGTAAGTAAATCATCTAATTCCCAAGTTATATCATGAATTCCTCCAAAAAGAATCAGTTAATTTTCATGAACTATAAGTGAATGTCCAGATCGACACATTGGAATATCACTTGAACCCAAAATAGGGATGAAATTCCATTCTTATTTTGACAAATCAAATTACCACAAATCATTAAATCTTTCAAATCCATCCTTCCCCCCAAACATATATAGACTTTAATTATGAATAGCTATAGAACTACCATCCCTAGGAGAAGGTTGTCTTTATTTAAATTTATTTAATTTAATCCAATTATTTAGATTAAAATTAAATGTATATAAATCATTAGAATGCTTGCGAACATCTGTAGAGTAAAAGCCTCCAAATATATATAATTTATCATTCTAAACAGTTGAACAATAATTATCTAATGGTTGTGGATATGAGTCGTTTTAGTCAATTTTTTTCCAAAATCTTTGATTGATATCATATACAAACATTTCATTTGTATATACAGAATCAGATATTTGTCCCCCAAATAAATAAAGACAATTATTGTAGACATAAAGTGAATGGCGACAACGAGGTCCAGGCTCATAATCACATTTTATGTTTTGCCAAATAAAGGACTCTGCACCCATGTTAAGTTTATAAAAGTCTTACATAATACCTTAAATTTACTGATAACCCCCATATAAATACAAACTAAGTTAGATAAAAAATTACTCATTATTGTGAATAGCTATTGCAGAATTTGTACGAGGTGTAAGATTTTTACCTTAAATTTTGCATTCTTACCATTTAGAATCTAGTTAATCTTATATTTCTTTTGTCATTAAAGGTATATATTTATACTATGTTTCTTAGACCTAAGATAAATGTGGACTTAATTAAGAAAGATCAATTAAATCATTTTTTCTTTACTATTAAGGTTTTTTTGTATGCATTAACCCTAACAAATACTTTGCTTCTATAAAAAATAAAAAATTATTCATTTGAAGTTTTTTTAGATAGCTAATAATTGCTCAGTCATAAATTTTATTAGATATCAAATGATTAAACATTAAGTTTATTAATTATAATATAATAATTAATTGAAATATTTAATAAAAATTAAATAAAAAAAAAAAAATAATTTTTTTATTGTATTATATTAAATTTATTTTATGATATCACTTTATTATATTCTAAACTTTCTATTAATTAGCATATATCCAATTTCTAGAATTTTTAGACTATTAAATTTCTTTATTTTGGATGTACCAGATGAATTAGGTACTACAAGAGAAAACTCAATATTTTATACAATCATGGCATTTGCAGTCATAAAATACTTAAGAAGTTATTCTACTATATAATTTTTGAGCTCACTTTTTTTTACAATAAAAATTGCATTAATAACTAGTTATTTATTTGTAGATACAAAAATTAGTATATTATATGGAGGTGCTTGTTTAGTGATATTTGTATTATGTAGTGAACCTAAATTTAATGGCAAAACAAAAATATAAGATATTGAAGAAATTAAAGAATTTGAAGAAGTTGTTGGAGTTAAATTTAGAGATAATGAAGATGGAGATATAATTGAAGAATTGAATGAGAGATTTAATAAGAAATAAAAAGGAAAAGAAAAAAATAAGAAAATATAAAATTATAAAATGACTGAAATGGTATTTGCTGAATTTTATGTTGATTGGGCAGATACTTGTAATTATGTATTATTTATATTTATTTCAAGACTAAAGAAATTTGGGCTAATTTTTCATGTAAATATACAACAAAAGGATTGAAATTTATTTCAATAAACTTAGCTAAAATACCAAGATTAGCTGAATGTTATAGAATTAATACAAGTGCTATGTCCAGATAATTACCAACTGTAATTCTTTTTGAAGATGGAGAAGAAGCATAAAGATTTCCTCCAATTGATGAAAAAACAAATAAAATACCAAAAGTATTAAAGTATGGAAAGAAAGAATTGTAAAGTTACTTTGATTTAGAGAAAAGATATCTTGCTACAAGAGATTTATGAGAGTTTATATATATATTTAGTACATTAACACTTATATTGTAATTATTAGTTTTATAAATATTTATTATGTATTCTCCAGATTCTTCTATTGATGATCGATACTTTTATAATCCTATGAACTCACTCTCAGAATCGGAATAAGACATGACATTTTAAAACAAATCCTCATTAATTAGTGAATAACCTGCAATTGCTGCAAAAAAAACAGGCACCATAATTGAAAATTCAGTATAATCAGTTGAAAAAAAAACAATCAACTTTAAAGTAGATAATGTTGATAACTACAAAGAAGTCAAATTGCCAGATCAATCTTTTAATAAATAATATTAATAGCCAACACAAAATATCTAGAAACCTCAACCTTAAATATAATAAAATATAAGAGTTCAAAAAACAAATGACTAGAAGCCTTCTGCTGTTGGAAATTCTATTGTTGAATAAACTAGTTAAAGTGCTAGAAAAAAACCAAGAATTTTTGAACCTCTTAATACTGATGATAAATTAGAATAGACATGTAAGTCATTCATATTATTTTACAGCGTTCTTAAAAGAACTTAATAGAATGGCTGGAGAAGAAGCTTAAAAAAAGCATCTAGAGGTTAAATAAATGTAAATAAATATAATATCATATATATATAGTTAAAATGCTGAGGATCTGATAATTCAAAAGCAATTATTTCTATTCACTAATTTTAATGAGAAGAATGTACAATAATACATTGATAAAGCAAAAGATTAAGTTGAAAAATTAGAAATCTAATAAGACTTATTACTCCTATTCAAAGAGTATAATTAAAAGTTAAATGAAATTGGACCTTTGTGTTTAGATAAAGAAGTAAGTCTTTTAGATGTAAATTATCAATATTAAAGTAGTAAACATCTGAAGAAAAAAGGAAGCAGAGATCTAGAGAAGAATTTAAATTATTATATAATCAAATATCCAAATTGGAGATTGCAAGTAGAACTGATTATGATTAAGATTGTTCTGAAATGATTTAAACTATGTTAAAGGAGATAGAAATAAAATTAAAATTAGAATTTGCAATAGAAAATCTATAAAGACTTAAACCTTAACTTTAAATACTTAAAAATAATAGAAATTTTTAAACAGAATTTCAAGCTTATCTAGATTTAATAAAATAATCTTAGAAATATGAATCAGAAAAACTGAAACCTTAGTTAGAATTAATGAAATCAAGTCTTAAAATAAGGGCATAAAAAATTTATTAATAGATAAACTGATAATTTTAAATTATGATAAATTTTTAATATTATGATCAAAAATTTATTTCGTTTTCTCCTACAATAGTGAACAATTTAGTTGATTATACTTTTATTTATTTCTTTTTAACTTTAGGTTTTGTCATTCTATCAAATATTCTTTTTAGTTATAAAATCTAAGAATAAGAATCCAAAGCTAAACTAAAAGTTAAGATTAAACTGAATATGAAAACATTTAACCATCCAAGCATATTTGAAATATCACTATTATCAAATATTTCTTTTGAACAATAAACTAAAAATGAACAAGTATTAAAACTGACACAAAATTCAGTAACAATAAGTTTATAGTTTTCAAATTGATGCTCAAAAGGTTATAATAATAAAACATAAATAGCAAAAACTGCAGAGATAAAGGAAACTAATAAAGTTTAAAATATTGGATTATCTTAAAGTAAAATTAATGTGTAAATAAAACACAATTTTTTTACTAAAGTTATTGTATTAAATTATTTATTCCATTTATTTCTTCCAATATTTAATCCATCAACTAATACAAATAATCTTTTTTAGAATACATTTTTCTTTGATAATGAAGCATAAAATAATAATATTAATGATGCATTCATTATCAATGTAATTGATGCAATAAATGAACTCCATTATAATAAAGTTGTTTATGTATTAAAATTCATAACTTAAAGTAATGCTGAAAATGTTAAATCATAATAGTTTGATAAAAAAATTCTAATTAATCCTGAAAAGAAGAAATATTACATATAAGAAAATGCAGTAGAAAAAAGTAATTAATAAGCTTTCATAATTATCATATAAAAATATCTCGAAATTTTACTTGGAGTATCTCCCCAACCTATAGTAGGTTTTTTTAATATATATGTAATGATTGTTGCAAGAAAATAATTTGCAAAACCCACAACCATGCAAATTAAAAAACTTTAAAAATTTACACCAAAATATGCATTTACTCCAAACAAATTGAATTTACCTGTAGGAAATATTTCTGGAGTTTCTAAATTTAAATAATCCTCAAAAAAGGAATTAAATTAAACATAATCAAGTAGAGGTTATAATGTAACAAAACTAAATACATCAAAATATAAATCTAAATGATATGGAAAATTGATATTTATAAATCTAATATAAGATAATTACTATAAAACATCTATTAAATTGAATAAAATTTCTAAATTTCCACTAAGAAAAGAAACTATAGCCAATGCTAAAACTGAATAAATAATAAGTTAACTTAAAAATGCAGCATTAGCAGCTACAGATTTTGATTCTTCAGATACTACAAAAGAATCATTTAATATTATATCTTCTTGTTCTATAAATAAAGTGTTATCAAATTAATTTACTAAATATATTGACTTAATTATAACTCTTAGATTTGGTTTCAAAATTTATTCTTTAATAGTTAAAGCAATTCTATAACTAGCATCATCTAATTCATATGATATAGATTTGATAGGTACAATATTAAATGAAAAATCAACAGAATCTTTGTTTGTGATAATAACTTAGATTTAATTTAAAAAATCTTCAGAAGTAACTGAAGAACTATTTAATTTGACTTTTTCAGAAAAAGCCAATTTAACTTCTTAAGTTTATTCAGTTTGTTTTGTTAATAAAGTAAGAACAATTTTAGGATAAACAAGATAATAGCATTCACTTAGAGATGATATAACTTTACATCTCCAATTAGGTTCTATGAAACAGTTTTAATTGCATCCATCATCAGGTTTAATATTACCATCATCACATTCTTCAAAAATAGTATTTAAGATTCCATCCCCACATTTACTTAAACAATATGGACCCTATTCATTAAATCCTTGAGGACATTCAATACATTATCCTTAATAACAATTAACACAATAGATGTCACATGAATATTCACAATTATAACAACCATCATATTCAATATCATTTCCATCATCACAATATTCTTATCCATTAACAATTTTATCTCCACATTTTGTTTAACATTCTTATGTAACTGAATTATAATAATATCCTTTAATTTCATTGCATTTTTAACAAATCTTACCATTACAATCATTACATCCTAAAGGACATTAGATTTTGCAATCATAACAACCATCATAAGGTAAAAAATTACCATCATCACATTCTTCAAGAGGTACTTAAATCATGCCATCTCCGCAAAATCCTTCACATTGATTGTGAAAACATCTTTTATAAAAAGTATCCCATAAACATTCATGATTATTGATATCTATTTTACATCCATCTTAAGTATTGATTTCTGTACATGTTTTAAGATTAGTGCATCCACCTTCAATTTTATTTGTACATCCTTTAAGATAATTTTAACATTCAATATGAGTTATGAGTTCAATAGGAGCTGTCTCACATGTTTTTTAGACACATTCATATATAGGGTAATCAAACCATTAACATTCATTCATTTAATAATCAAAAGTACAAGCATCTTCTAATTATGCATTTTCACAATTAGCTCTCTCTACACATTCATATCCATTAGTTGTACATTTGAAATTCTCCATAGCATATTTACATGTATCATCATTTCTATATGGAAAATCCTCACATTAAACTTACTTACAACCAATAATTTAACATTATTTATTATCTAAAAATCCCTCACATAATAAATTAGTTTCAAAATGAGATGGAGCATTACTACATACTTTCTCTCTACATCTTGATTAATCTAAATCCCAAAAACAAGGAACTCCTGAACTATTAACTTATCCTGGTAGACTACAAGCATCTTAAGTATATTTTTTGCAAATATTATGACCTTCAAAACATGCATTAGAATCGTTATTGCTTGTGCATATTGATTCTGGAAAATATGCTTAACAATCAGCTGGGGTGTATAGAACTAGAGTAGCAGTATTACAAGATTTATTTTAGCATGCACCTAAAAACCATTCACAATTATTCTAATTTTTATCAATAATACACTAAGTTTATACTGTATAATTGGCACAATCATCTAATTCAATACATCCTGTTGCTGTAGAATTCACAGTACAATTTTTCCATAATTAATTACATTTTAAATGAGTATCATTAATTGAATCTAATATAAGACAATTATTTAATTTAAAACATTTAGTTTATTCAATACTCCAATAACATACATTATAAGAACTATCAAATTAGCACATTTAATCTATCAAATATGAAGTACAATCATCAAATAATGATTGACATTTTTTGACTCCAGGAACAATTGTACAAGATTTATCTTAATAATATTACTCACATTCTGTTATGGTATCATATTATTTTGACTTTGGGGCACTTTGACAATCAGCTATACAAACATTATTTGTTGAATCAAATTAACAATTTTTTAACCAATTATCACAATCTACTAAACTAGTAGGTATACCAACATAATTAGAACATGTTCTATCTTCACATTTTGAAATTGTTGAATTCCATAAACATCCATTATTACTACTGTTTAAACCAGAATTACAATCTGCCTCTATACCAAATCTATGACAATATAAATAAGTTTCATATTTCACACATATCGAATCAATAGGGTCCCACATACATAAATTTGTTAAATTATTACAAGTCAAATCAGTAGTATAATTTGAACAGACTAGGAATATACATTTATCTGAAGTGGAATTAGCTACACATTGACTATGATATGCCTAACATTGAGCATTAGTTAAACCAGCTTAAGATTTAGTTAGACAATAATCAATGCAACTTGAATTTTGATTTTTATCCCAATAGCATTTCTATCC